AATGTGAACAAAGAGCTCTTTACCTGTACTGTATTGTTTCAGATGTGGTTGATGCTCTTAGTTTGGTCATGAGAATTCTTACTATGTTGAAGAGGAAAACAAAGTTTATCTAGAATAAAAAAGAGACAAAAAAAAACGTTAGGCCATGTGGTAATGGTTTCTCTAAAGAACACAGAGAACAATTATCTGGTCTGAACAGACAGCTCATTTGTAAGCTTGCTGAACTGAAACCAAGCTGAGAAGAGAACAAAAATCAAAGTACGACTCAAAGCAGTGCGAGATGACAAAACACATAGTCAAAACAAGATGGTGGAACAAAAATGTCTCTGAGATTTCTATGAATAAATGTTTTAGACTTTATGTTTGAAAAGGCCAGAACTCATCTGTGAGATTAATTCTACCTTTTCAAAAGCAGTTGCCCCGTATCGTTTACCTTGTTAATGTTCAGCTGATTGATGAATCACTTTACACTCTTACAAAAACATAATTTAAATTTAGAATTTTACTTCTGAGAAAGAAGAAAAAATGATTATATTTATTTTCTGCTCACCAGGAGCACAAGAATAACTGGTCCCTGATAAATGTAGTCCATATATTTGCCAGGTTCTTTACCAAACCAGCATCTGTTGACAAAAAAAAAAAATAAAAAAATTAAAATCAAATTCCATTAAATTACAACAGTATTATAGAAAAACAAGTCTTTATTTTCCTGTTACTTACTGTTCATTTTCATAATACAGCTTCCCAATGGCCCAAGCAACAATTATAGGACATGGAATACCTGAAAGAGCCATCAAACAAAGATCAAATATACTTTTTAAAATATTTAGACACAAAAGGTTTTATAAAAACAAATTTAATAATTTAAGTTCATTGCTTTTTGATCTAGTAAGTCCCAGTATCCTTAAAAACACATCTTTGCTTTGCTAGCAATTAGGTCAGAATAATTCCATGATGATTTTAAATAAAAGAAAAGAAGAATGATGGATTCTCCTATTTTCCACTCTTTGAGATACTTGCAGTTTATTAGCTAAAGAAGCAACATATTAAGGTCTAAGGGACTTTGGAGTCATTAAATACATCATTAAAGAGTCAAAACCAATTTTCCACATAAAGGGGTAGTAGGCAACTAATGGATGGCTGTTTGGGAAAAAGGTTTTAGTAAATGAGAAAGATGTGAATTCTGAAACAGTTAAACACTTGATTTTTAATATATGTATACCAWTGGCATCATTTGGACGTATTAAATGATATGCAATGTGTTTAAAATGGAGCACAAAACAAAGAATCAATGGGGAAAAATAACTGAATATGTTATTATTTTACACTGAGATTGTTTTAGAGTACCAGCAGAAAGAATGTTTTTTTCTGTACTTTTCCCATCTTTTACTTTGATATCTCTGTGGCAGTGTTGGCTTCAGATTAGATTAGCTTCCCTGCACACCTGGTCCTTATTTGCTAATTAAACCACCTGCAGTGTGTTAATTGTTAGCCATATGTTATATAGTCAGCTCTGTTCTCACAGATCCTTTCTTTTACCTTCTGGTTTTCTTTCTGTGTCAGTGTTTTAGTCTTATTTTTTAGAATAAATACCGTAACCTACCTTCGTTAAAAAGTCTACACATGTTCTCCATTTACTGTTTTACAACAGAAACATTTTTAATCATTGAGCATTTATATTTTGTCTATTCTGTGCTAAACTCAAGTCCCTGTGTAACGTTTCACAACAATAGAATTTAGAACATGTAAAAATAAAAATATTTATAATAAAACATGGGATTGGCCAAACTCTGTTGGAACATCCCGACTTCTCACCAACCCAGTCTTGACAAAGCACAAAGACAGATGTCCCAACAACAATAGTTCTTGAGGTAAATTGTTGTCCATTGTCTCTCCAAAAATGGAACTATTTAGAAAATAAACATTATTTTCATTTAACACAAATGTCAAAAGTTCACAAGCTCTTTTTGCCACTTTTTGTTGAAACCATCCGTAAAGCCACAAGTGTGAAATTTGAACAGTGACCAGTAGAGCAGGGAAATGTTTCCCTCCTCAACCAGCTTCTCACATTATTTTATTTTGCCTTTTTTTTTTTTCAAATATTTTTTCAAATATTGCAGCGTTAGTGAGTCACAAAAGTGGATGGTGTTTTCTTCATAATCCTTTAAATGCTGATGGTCTTTTTTGGGAGATTACCATGATGTAAATCAAGGAAATCCAGCAGATATATGTGAGGTTAAGGTTCTTGGCACATTTAGTGTTGAAGAGAAGGTTTAGGGTAGGGGTTACATTTTACTGGCATGAACAACAAAGGCTGAATTACACATTTATTCAGATAAGGATGTTAGTTTTGTCCTGTTGAATAATGACCACAATCACCACATATGTGAATATGGATTCTGTTCAGCTGGGGTCAAATGTCAAAAGGTGACGGCATTTTATGTTTAACTATACAGTACATCTTGGTTTAAGTTGGGTTTAGCCATTCTAAAAGCATCCTTGAACTTAAAAAGCAACATTTTTAAACTTAAATGTCTCAAGTACACTTTTTTACTGACACATATTCTCCCTGTGTCACATCCTTTACACACTCGGTTAAGCAACGTGTCTCAGACCCTGCATAATCTTCTTTACTGACGTACTGATTGAAAGTGGCATCTTTATTTGAACTCTCTCCAGACTGTGCATTTAAAACAGTCTTAGAGTGTCGACGGGGCTACATCTGGCCAGGCTCCAATTTGTTTTATTGTTGGTTTGCTTTTAAGAAGCAGGGGGTCAGGAAAATAAAACTAGCATATTTAAAAAGCTCAAAATTTTAGGGGGAAAATGGGCAAGGGGCTGTTATTACTCATCATAACTTMTTTGATGTTTCTATTAACCTTTTTTCCCCTCCTAGATGCACGTGTTGATAAAAATATGATCATCTTTTCCATGGCCTCATTATTATAATTTCCAAGAATAACAAAACGTGTTACAAGTGGGGGAGGAGGCATTTTTAAAGGGATGCCTGCATGTGTAATGACACTGTGCTTCACAAGGAGAATGGCCTTTTTATTTAGAACCATGCACCATAATTATTTGGTTAGGGCCAGTTATAAGTAAGACTATAAATTTCTAACCTATAGAGTAACTTTTTAAATAAAAAAAATAACATGGATGTGTTTAAGAAAAACACAATTTGTTTAATATGTTTCGTTTTGTGAAACATTTTTTAAAAACAATTTTGCGGTTTTATACATAACCTATTTGAGCACATATTATGACATTTTGAAAAAAAAAGTTTGCACAACTTCACCTAATGATCCAAAAAATATGCACCAAGCTAAAGCTTTATAGTTCGTTGTTAATGTGAGGATACTTACACCAACCGATGAAGAGGAAGACCCACTTTTTCAGCTTATCAGTAGAATATGTCATTACAATAGCTGTGTGAAGGTAGCATCCTTCAACAAACATCCAGAAAAAGTTTGTCACCACAAAATAGTTGTAGATTGTAGTAATGAGTCGACACCAAGGCTAAAAAAAAACAGATTCAGAATTATCCAAAAGGACTGAAAACATGAACAATTTCTCTGATGTTGTTCTGTTACCTCATTACTCTCATGGATATTGTGGTCAATCAGCTGAAGCAAAAACCACATRACATTCCTCAGGATGAAAGTGGTGATCAGATTCCAGTGGATGATGTTTCGAAGACATCGTATGCTCCTGAACCACAAGACAAATGGTGCTGTTTAAGAACCATGCACGGTGTTAACATRTCCACAGTTGTGCAGATTTTTTTGTGCTTAAAAGCAAAATATGGATCATGCAAGTTTTTGTATCCAAAATGAACTGGAAGTACAAACTTATTTTAAAGTAAATGTGAAGTCATTTAATATCATGAAATAACATTTTTGTTTTACATAATGAACAAAATTATATCTTAAAATTGAGACCAGCTGAGGTTGTGTGTTTTTCCAGTTTTAAAGACAGAAGAGTTAGGGGAAAAAAACAATGCATCAAACCTTTTCTAATCAGAGTGGTTCACTGATTTGGGCAGCGGAGATTCATTCATTTGACATGAGCAAGATAATGGTGAGCCGTGTTAGAATATGACATGATTTCCACTGATTATCTTCTATCTGGTCTAATGCATGCAGGCCTCATTGAGATTATTTCTGTACTTGCCTTAAGCACAAGAAGAGAACAAAAGCCACGACCAGAGCTCCCACAGAGATACAGTGGCCAAGGAAGTTGATGATCAGGGCTATTTTATAATGCATGGGATAGTTCCTCTGGAAAGAAATCATACGTAGAACTCCTTTTTATTCTTACAGCTGAATAATAAAAAAGTAAACACACAAATCATAGCAGAGGATGTGACATATAAATCTACTCTTTTCATAATTGAGCTTATGTACAATCTACTAAACAGATCATGAAGTAATTGTGAAAATGGGTTGTGACAACTATTAAAAATGAGCAGAACATGAGGTACATCTAAGCCTTAAATTAAATTTTTATTTGCTTACACTACAATCGCTGAGCTGTAATGAATCTAGCAATCAGTAACATGCTTAATGCTTAGATGACATCATTTTTGTCAGGGATGGATTTGACTGGACTCTGTAAGCAAAGGTTATTATCTCGTAAAAACAAAATGGTGAGATAAAGAAAATGTTTTATGTCCATTGCAATTAGTCAAAATATAAAAGTAACTTGAAAAATATCTCTAAACCTAAAACATCATTTTCAGCACTATAGCTACCTCAGGAAAAACAAACAAACAAAAAAGATTATAACTCAATGTTACAAATGTTGAGCAAATTATATGGCTTCACTTCTGAATGCACCTTGAAAATTYCTTTAGGAATGTTTCTAGCTGGTGCCTACCATGGAAAATGTTGGAGGAACTGAAGTGAATTGCAAATATGCCTTAAATTTTCACCTATAGGAAGGAAAGTGAATGTCACTGACACACTTCAGATGTCGTGGGTTTAAAATTATCCAAGAAAATGGAGCAGGACCCAAAAATACATGGGATCTGGAGAGATGAATACAGGTAACCAGGCCAAGGCCCATAACGCATCACTCCCGCTGTTTCTTTCAATTACTGCTTACAACACACAAACTAAATTTGTGTTTTATCAAAAGACAAACATGAAGTTGTTAAATTTAAGTACATCAAACTGTGGAATTCAGTCAGTATTACACAAAAAAATAGCATGTGTTCTGTGTTAAGCATTGATTAAACATGTTTGAGACGGAGCAAAGGAGAGCAGGAGTGATTCGATGTTTTCRTACTAACCTTCTCATCTAAAATAGGCTCACAGTTTGAGTAATTGATCTTCAACGCCCAAGTACCATTATCCATGCACTCCCTGTAAGCACTTCCTGCAAGATAATAAAATAAATGTATAAACCTTTTACATTTACAAAAAAATAATAATTCAAGGATACTTAAAGAAGTCAAACAACTGGATAACATTATTTCTAACATGAAGTTGTAGAATTCAACACAAAAAAACAACAATTACAGCTATTAGCCAAACACATTACATGAATATAAAGCTGGGATATCTTCCGATTTTAAAATGTCAAACTTGTCAAGTTCAGAATACAAATTCAAAACACGTTTTTTTTTCTTCTTTTGTCCAGATGAATGTTGCTGGGATTTCCGCAGCTTTGTTGCAGAGGATTGGGCTGTCAGACTCGTCTCAAAGGTCATGACCTCATCACCATCTCTGTCTCAATGCAATAATGTAATCTTCCTTCACCGTGGACTTCAGATAACCTTGGAAGTGTTAAATAGAGACTCTTTAGCTTTTACTTTGTTCCTTTGCTGCATATATTTAATTTTTTTTGTAATGAGCTACTAAAACCCCAAGTGATCAGCACATTCATTAGAATATTTGTTGATTTATCTTTCTGCCCCAATGTTTACTTTTTAATCTGATGTTGGACTTTTTTTAGTTTTCACTGAATGCAGCATCAGTAAAGAGCTTTCCCATAAAATAAACTGTTGAAATAGGCAACTAATTTATAT